CTTTAGTGAAAACTAGGTCTAGACAATTTGCTCTCTGGTTCTCTCGAAATCTTGTTGGTACCTTCACATGTTGCGCCAGAGGGAGATCGAGTGTGAGGTCCAGTAGCTTATTGCTGAAAGAGGCTGGTCCACCATTAACTGTCATAGTTTCCCGCTCTATTGCAGGTGCGTTGAAATCCCCAGCAATAAGTACCTCTTGGTGGCTAGCTACGTTTTTGACTAAACCAAGGAGCGACTCATCAGCTGCACTCAGAAGATTTGGTGGTCTGTAAATCGCCAGAAATTCTAGATTTTGTGCATTGCTCTTCTTTATCTTTATCCAGACGGATTCATATTCAAGGGATAGGGTGTAGGCTCTTTCAACTGCTGAAATTCCTTCCCTTACATATACGACTACCCCTCCGCCCTGCCTATTTTGACGGTCTCTACGAAACAGCTGGTAACCCGGTATCGAAATCTCAGCATCCATGATTTCGGCATTAAGCCAAGTTTCCGTTATGGCGATGACGTCGGGGATTTGTTCCGGTACTCTCGCTTTGAGTTCGTCGATTTTCGAAACGAGACTTTGAGCATTGGTATACAAAAATCTCAATTTGGCACGAGCAACTCCGGCATACAGGCGTTTATCCATTTCTTGGGATTGAATGCAAAAGCCGGTCGGAGCTGATCGGAATGAACTGCTTTCCCTCACTCCTAAGCTGTTAGAATTATGGGTTTTCTCCAGAGGAATGGCCTCTGGACGCGTATAATTTTTCCGTCCACTATTCGGAGATTTGTCTCGCCCAGACTCGACCGCCTGAGGACTTCCAATTTGAGCCCCCTCCATTTTTCTCGCTCCGCGGGTGAAAAGTCCCGCTGAAAAAAAACTGATGGATGGGCGTGTTTAAGCGCAGCTTTCCTGTTCAAAAGTAGCTGTGCTTGTTCGTCATTCTCAAAGGCAATTTTTAACGGTCTCGGTCGGTCTGGATCTTGTTTTGAGTCTTTACTTTTGCCCATCCTGAAAGCCTTTAATACTGTGACTTTTTCGTCTTTTATTAAGATCGATTTGAGATATTCCTGGAATATTTCTATGTCATGTTGTATTCTGTCCTTTGAAGCGTCGGAAACAGACTCAGGCATGCCCTTTATAACGATGCATTTACTGCGATCAACTAGACGGCCTTGTGGTATAATCATACCTACAGAGTCTTCATCGCGTGCATCCCGGCTACAACCTTCCACCGATTTAGGAAGGTTTGATTCAGCAGGACTAACGCATGACTGCCTGTTTACTACGATCTTTTGATCATTTTTCGTTTTCAGCGGCGCGATTTTCGTGTGCGGCGTACCCAACTCTTGTTCCCTCGTCTGACTCTCTGTGCCTTTTTGAGGTACCCTGAGATTTCTTTTTGCTCGCTGAGATCGCGTCTGACCGCGCTTTTTTCGCACAAGACACTGGGTGTCATTCCTATCAAGCTCTAGCGACCTACTATTTTCTTTCTCCTCCGTCGACACAGCCGAGGAAGCCGTGTTTGCGTAAGTTCGCTCGCTTTCATTCTCTTTGGATGAATAGCGAGGGAGATTCTTCATCTTCCCCATCTCCACTTTAAGGCCCTTTATCTCCCTCTCCATTTCCGCAACTTTTTGAAGGAGTCCGAAACATGTCGTACAGGCTTCGTCTTCGTATTTGATATCCATACAGCTTACTAGGCTCCTTGCTCGTTTAGCGGGAGGTGACTTAACAGCGATATATAAAGAGTTGCAGTCATTTGTACTACGAATAATGTTTACTCTTTTATTTATTTCAGTCCGTTGGCCGTGCCCCGATAGTGTAGTGGTGGTTCGCAATGCACATTTAGAGGTAAAATATATTTTTCTGCCGGCCAAACATAGAATGATCTGAACCTGAAAAGGGAGTCCACTTTTTAACAGAAAAGCCTGAGATGGTGGGTCAAAATGTGATCAAGAGGGTCATCAGCGCGAGTACTGAAGGAGACAAGATCATCAAAACCTAAAAGTTTGAGGGGAGAAAGGTTCACGCGATTAAAATCGCCGCATAGGAGAATTAGATGTCCACAGGACGATATAGCAAAATTCATGGAATAAATTCCAAAAACCGACTAGAGCACCTCCACAGGTTGAGGGGTAATGTAAACAATAGCAAATTTAGTGCCTTTAAAAATAGTCAACAAACGGGGCTTGCATATAACGGCGATAACATCTATAAAACCATCAGACTAAGAAAACAGGGACTCACAGCCTGTACACCAAATCTGGTTAACAAAAATAGCAACGTCCCCATCTCTGCCACAGGATAAACATTTTGTATCCGTTCGAAAGCAGCAGAAAGGCCGAAGAGTAATTAACTGCACATAATCACACCCCTTCAAGACAAATCGAATCAAAAGCTTGTCCGGAAGATCCCCTTACATCGTTAGACACCGCATCTGCCTCCAGCAGGGAATTACTTGGCATCGTGTCTGACTTTAATTGACGTTACTGCGGCCTGTATGACTTCTGAAATTCCACGTCGATGAATCGCATATGCACTAAGGAACAAGCACAGTGTCAACTATCGACTTGGCCATCGAAGAATTGTCCACAACTGAAGTTTGCGCCCGTTGTTTGCCTTCTGTCCCTATGAAGGCCTTCCTCTAAGCTGTCACTTTTTCAGCATGGTTTTTATCACCTGGTGTACCCACACACACACACAATCAAATGGGCGGATCGATGGAATTAAAACCACCCCCTTCGCGGCTGTCAAAGTTTAAAAATAAATTTAAGGTGAATAGGACAAGTTAGAATAATTTATAGCAATCCCCGAAAATGTGTTCTAATGCGAAGGAGTTTCTTCGTATCTGAACAGAGGTTTGTTATTTGTTTTTCGAAGATACCTGGTCATAATTAGTCAACAGTTGCCCAAGCTGTGACGGGTTCGACATGGTAAAACAGCCACGCAGATTGGCCCCATGGGCTGGTGGACTTCTGGGGCCAGATAAGAACTCCTGCTGAGATATGGGGATGCCAAGTGATTTACTATGAGATCTTATTGAAAAGTCTACATTTAGGGCACAATTTGTAATCCAGGAAAGCTTCTACATCGACTTTGTTTTAAATAGCTCCTATGGACGCTGGGACGACTTCGTAATTTTCGTAAATTACGTTTATTCGTCCTCTTTAGTTTTCCGAATGGACGTTTGAAAATACAGAACCCATTATCGAAACAAGACAACCATCGTGGAGTTTTAAATCACAGAAAGCAACAAGATGATTTCAGCAGATAAGATCAGTCAAATGACTGACAAAGCAAATGACGGTTATGGAGAAAATGTCAGTGAAAATTTCGGAGGTCCGCAAACGACAAAAAATTGGGTTGTTGAGAAAACCATAACCTTTTTAAAAGCACAACATCGTGAAATGCTCCAGGCACTTCAAAAAGAGATAGAAAAACTTAAGCAAAGAAACATTGGTAGATCCGCAACATTTTAGACAAAATTTCGTAGATTTGCAGCGACGTTTAGTACTAGAAACCAGGGGAAAACTTGACACAGAGCTGGTCACAGAGTCCGAAAGAAATAAACTTGATGAACTCGCGACAGTTCAAGAACTGAAGAAGAAGATCGCTGAGCTTCAGGAACATTTGAAATTGGCACTCGAGTCTAATAAACTGCTTAAAAAAGAACTTGAAGCAAAGCGGCTTCATTCAGGGTCAACAAGGTATTAAAGCTGAAAACATGGCTTAAGTCTTTTCAATTTAATGTGTACAGTTTTGCACTCTGTCGCGTCTGTCTTTTCAGTATTCTTTCGTTATGGCCACTTGCAGCGTGCAGTTCCTGTTGTTCTAGTAAAATATCCTTCCTTTCAGAAATGCCTTCTTGCTCAGACAGGTAAAAGTGTAGAAACAAAGAGGCATAGTGCGCGATGAGGCAGCTATATTAATATAATTACTTTTTTTCAAGTAAACCGTACCTTTTCTACCACATTACATAAACATCCTTATGTAAAAACTTTGACAAATTACTTTATAAATCAAAGGAAAAAATCCAAAGAGTGTATTATGTTTTAAAAAATATTCCTAGCTTCCATCAAAATATGGTTTTACGCTAATTTGACTTACTGAGTTGAAAAAGAAGACATTGGGAATGCAAAGAGTAGAGGACAGACATGAAATTGCCACAGCCCGAGTAAAACGTTATCCAGATGACCAAAGGATCTATAGTTAGCCTTGGAAAAGCTCCATTTCGGTGTCCCCTTTAACAAAAATTTGTAATAGTGCAAAGTTTGTTCCAGTTTTGTCAATTAGATCATTAAGAAATTTTGACAACACCAGAGGGATTTTCCGAGGCTGTTTTTGAAATACATTACCTAGTGATGAAAATTCAACTCAACCTTATTCTAATACGCTCATTTCTTTTTTTATTTTAAGGCACAACATGGCGGAGTCCCACGCACCAATCATCCAGCAGGCTGAACAAGTGAAAGCTTCCCTGCAGGGAGCACGAAACGTCACTCACTGCAACAGTGAACTAAACGTGAACACCGGCGTTCGTGGAGTAGTTCGGGCTGAATATGAAGACAAAAAACTGTTAAACGTCAACCACTCAAATGCGTTGTCCTCAACTGTTAGAAAGATCCAAGAACCTATTAATAGAGTAAGAGTATATATTAATTTGATCCCCCTAGTGACGGGTGAAGTTTAAGCGCAGTTTAACAACCCTGCACATTTCCTGTCTAGCGGACAGACCAGAGTCTTTACACGTGCTTTTATCCTTATTTATCGCCTTTATAGATAACTTGGTTGCTCAACTTGTTCTGCCATCTAGTCAGACGCTGCAAAATGCGTTTGGTTTCTCCTTCTGTTAACAATCTTTGGCATGTTCTTTTAATTATGGAGCTAAGGCTCTATGAATCGACTAATCTTCTTCAAGGTGTTCACTGGGTGACCAATATGATCTGAGGCCTGAGCTCTAGAAATTTGTAAATGCTTTGTTCTTCACACATTTATACCAGTATTACACTAAGTGTTTTTGCCTACCTCAATCATCTATCTATTTATCGACATGGTTCGTGATCTAAAAAGACACCTGCTTAGTATCACGGCTGGCAAGCCAGTGGTTACAGTCACTGTTTTTATTTTGTGTCACATTTGTAGTATTAATATCTTCCAGAGCTTAATACTTGGAGGACACTTGAGACATTTTATAGAAACTGGACAAAGCCAGGTACGAAACGCAGGTGACTCACGCAGTTACCTAATTAAATGAGTAGTTTTCTTCGAGGCTTACTTCTAATGATTGGGTTTAAAACAGTTAAAAACTACAAGCAATATCATTGCCGAATTCTATATTTGGCTTCTTAGTAATTATACCTACCGATTTTTGACCGAATATTTTCAGACTGCAGGATTTTTTCAAGTTAACGAAATCCGTCCCGAAAGTTTGCTGGCATTTATGGTTTCAAGATATCTCAGGCCTCTTGTTCAAGCAGCGATTACACGCTCAGTTGTTTATAAACCGCTTTACTCTGTCATTCCGCGTCATGTTTCTTTACATGGCCTTGATCTTTAGGCGACTATTGTTCGATTAGGGAATAACGTTTCGTCCTTTGAGAGGTTTAAGAGGTTTTCCGCCTTTTTGATAAGAACTATGGAAGTTCAACACATTCATCACCCTTTGCGCGAAGTAACGTATACAGCGAGTGACCGATCTCATGAAATGTTGGCCAAAATTCTGAAATGCGTTTTTGATTTGATAGGATTACTTAGGTGGGGTTGTAATAATAATTATCGTACGGCATAATCCCGTAATATTTCGGACTTGTTAGGATGTCGGCTTTTGAATGCATTTTGGTTTGATCTTCTACGGAAACCATGCTCGGTAAAAAATGGCTACTTAATTAGCGTGCATTTTTGCATTGATTTTTGATGTTCATATATATTCGAATATATTTTATAGAAAACATGAACAAAAATATGCTTTATTCTCCTTGTTTTGTGGCAAATCACGTAGGTTTTAAATGTTGTCCCCGAAGACAGGATATATTTGAGTTTTAAAAGTTTTTAATTATAAGATTTTTAAGACCGTGCAATGTACATCCATACAGTATCGTACCTGTCTGTTTTCCAGTGCTCATCATGAGATGTATAACATAATCCGTACCCATTGTAAAATTGAGTGAACTCTACATAGTGTCTTTTTAAAGGCACAGATGATTAAACGACTTTTCTTACGCGGAAAGCATGCGCCTTGTACACCGAAATCGCTAAACGCTATTGTAACGGCTAATCTGCCTTAAAAATTTTCGGGAATTCGAAAACGTTTTCAAAACCCAAATATATCCTGTCTTTAGAGATAAAGTTTAAAGCCGACGTGAGTTGCCACTAAATGAGCAGAAGAAAGCATATTTTTGTTCATGTTTTCTATAAAATATATTTGAATTTATATGAACATCAAAAATCAATGCGAAAAATGCATGCTAATTAAATGGCCATTTTTTACCGAGTATGGTTTCCATAGACGATCAACTTGAAATGCATTCAAAAACCGACATCCTAACAAAGCCGAAATATTATTGGATCATGCCGTACGATAATTAGTATTACAACCCCACCTAAGTAATCCTTTCAAATCAAAAACGCATTTCAGAATTTTGGCCAACATTTCATGAGATCGGTCGCTCACTGTATGTTAAATGGGATGGTAATTCAAGTAAGATGGGCTATACTTCGGGGGATTAAGTGCTCATCAGTGCCTACTTAAGCTAAAATGTAAATCTTATATGTTGGTTTGTCTAGTGTTTCAAAAGCAAACTCAAAGCTACACGTTTATCAGTCAGATACTTTTGCCAGGTCACTAATTCGCCGCTTTCGACGCATTGCTAACGCATTTCGCCCACAGCATCTATTGCGCTACAGCACCGTCTATAATCTCCCCTATTTTGCATCATTTTAGGGCTCCACATCAGTGTAAAAGTCTGGAGGTGTCGTTAAAAGTCCTTATCGAACCCGGTGTTTGCAACCACGAGGCTGGGTCTAACTAATTTAGTTTAGTTTCCATGTTTATGTTCCAGTCAAGAGAGTGTATATTTCCACAATGAAAAATAAATTTTATTCTCTGAAGGTTGCTTCTTTTATGGCAGGCTTCAGTAGTAGGCGTTATTGTCGTTATCGAGAGCCCCATTGTTTCGCATTAGGCCTTTAAGCTAACTCTCCAAATCAAATTAATATTTCTTAATTCTCAGCCTACTCTGAATCTTTATCCTTTATGTGGGACTTCCGCAAATTTGCATTGAAATTTTCCCTTACAACGGACAGTTGCTTCCAAATGTGCTGCATATTTTGGTCGGAAGCTTTTAACAAAGGCGTCAGTGGGTTGTGCTTCAAAATATATCCGAAATTTATCGCATCCGGAAGTTATATTATTGGAAGGTCATCCAATCGTTATATACTCTAAAGTTGAAAGGAATCTTGACTGTTCGGACATACTCCTTATTTTGGTCATATATTCGGATAAAATTGCTGGTTTTCGCTATCCAGTGTATCCCAATCCAGTCTTTTTTCCAACGTGCTTAACAAACACGCTTACAAGTTGTGCCACATAAAGATGCACACTAAGGTTAAAAGTGCTCGATCGACATTTTTCTTGAAATATTACTCACTTTAAACACCACTTCGATGGAAATACTTTGTCCACCAGACATGCATCTGGACCGAAAATATTTTCGGACGATTTATGGTAAAAACCTCTTGACCAGTGAGTCTGGAAATCGTCTCGTTGAAGTGAATCTATTTTATTTACTGTACTGTTAAGAAGCTTTTATCACTTATTTGGTCAGACAAACCAACAATATTGCAGAAAGGTGCAAGTATTTAAATCCTAGATTGTGTTAGGTACATTTTCATGAACTAAAAAATCTCATCATAAAAGGATAAAGATTCGCAGACCTTACCTTATTTTAATTCATTCGGACATTAATGCAGTGCTCCATCGGATGTCACAAATCGAGCATTTACTAGCTCCTCCTGATCGAAGGCTTTATTTGGGTCGGGATCCGGGGTTTTCCAAAAGGAGGAAGTTTGCGCACCTTTTTGTAAAACTCCAAGGTCTTCAGTATCCAAACACATTCTAGCAATTCTCCCATGAATATGGGGAATACGTGAATGATACCTCGTCTTACTATAATTCATAACCCTAAACTGCCGAATTGCAATGTTGATGAGAGCTGTTCGGTTCAAAGTTAGAGTCACAAGTCTAGACGGCAGCATAACTGAAAAAGATGAAATTTCCTACCCTAGACTGTCCAGATTGAACAGCAAAACACCTTTGATAGGAAACTCGGCAAAAGCCTCCAGTTTCCATAAAACATGAATGTCTGGTAACTTTTCATAATTTTGTGTGTTGAACCCTTAATAATGAGGCCTATTTGAAATTTAAAACAGCAGTAATAATTCCGGGACCAAAAGGAGGCTTAACTGGTCATATATATATGTGGCAACGTGCGATAGGCTTCGCATTTACTTGTATAAAGCAGCTGTCTCGAAGCATATCCTTGTCATAAGACAGACTTGTTGTGCCAACGGTAAATATATTTGCTTGTATATCATTGGTTAACGGTGTTCGGCGAAGGCAATTTGAGGGAGTCACTTTTACTCTTTGAAATGTATATTACTTCGATGATGATAAGCTAGTGTTATTTTTAGTTACTTTTGGAAGAAAAAATATGCATAAACCAACTCTAGGTGCTCCCACTGAAGGCCAACATAATGGATGCTGGGAGTGGAGGCCCAACAATATGGCTATACGGATGACTGCTGTTTCGCGCTTGTTTGTGTTCTCGTCAGCCGGCTTCGGCCACCAGTTCAGTGTAGCCCGGTGCAAATATTCGTAAGGTGTCCGACCAGCAAATAATGTTAAACTGGAGGGGGCGATAGCACCGTAAAACGAAGATTACAGTAGGTGTTCTAACTCATGAAACGTTAACCGATTACTTGAGTAGCATTGTGAAATCAATCATCATGCAGCATAATTCTACAATAATTCAGTTACCTCATGATGTCGGCTTTCGAATGGACCTCTTTTCGGCCGCATGCAAAAACCACACTTTGTAGAGAATGACTCATTAATTATCATGCGTTTTTTTCATTGATTCCCGATGTCCTTAAAAGTTTTACTATATTTCATGGAAAACATGCATGAAAATATTCGTTCTTCTGCCCAATCGGTAGAAAATTACGTTCTATTTCAATTTTCTACTCAAAAAGGGTATAATTTGGTTTATAAGGACTTTTCCAATTCCAGAATAATTTCGAATCCTAACTGCTGTCAAACTTGAATTCAGGGTTTCTAAATTACAAGTCATAGATTTTCCGCTAGCGGAAAATCATACATTCCTTTATGGTTTTATAAGGAGACTATATGGGATTCATAAAACTAAGCAGTAGATTTGAGCCATATTGTAAACTTTACAAGCCACATTAACAAATGCAGAGACATTATGTTTTACGAACAGGCATTTCACGGTACTAAGAAATCTCATGACTGGAAACCTTTTTTTAAAACCGAATTAAGTATGAAAACCGAATTTAAGTATAAAATTAGAAAAAGACGTAAGTTACCATCAAATTATGAAAAATGAATATTTTTATGTGTGTTCTCCATCAAATAGAACTGAATTTTTAAGGGCCTCGAAAATCAATGAGAAAAATACATTCTACATTATTAGTCATTTTTTGCAAACTGTGGTTTTCGAATGCGGCCGGAAAGGAGTTCGTTCGAAAGCCGGCGTCCCGAGCTAACTGAATTATTATAGAATTATTTTATATGATGATCGATTTTACAACGCTACTTTACTAATCTTTTCGAAACGGAAACGTATTTCGTAATTTCGGCCAACATTTCCTGAGTTAGCACACCTACTGCATATCGTTACCTCCTCAGCAGTCAGTATTTTTGAGGTTAGGGAAGGTATTTATAAACACCTAAATTGACTCACACCGCTCTCGATGGAGTGGTAGAATAATGTGACTTCGTCTTATGGTGTTAGATTCGTGACCGGACAACACCGATCAGACCTCGAAGCCAAACCATTAGCCACTCTCTTAGGTGTAACAGCAAGGACTGGAGAAGCTTAAGCAGTAAAAGTTGCATATTTATTTATGCGTTTTTTCACTCAGTCTCCCATCCGATCTGACCTCATCGGTCGATAATGTGCGTTGTGCACCTGCGGCTGGCTGAAGTCACGAATGAGCTCGAGATAGCTGCTGCCACAGTCTAACCCTTTTTGTTGGTTTGCCCAACAATCTCCATTCTTGGTCGTCTGTACGCAACTTCTGCCACCGGGTGAGGGAGCTGGTTTTCTCTGGAATGCTAACTAGACTGGTGCGGACTCATTCCAGAAGGGACGTAATTATAAGCTTAGGATTTTTAGTAAGTCATCGGAAAACATGAATCTTAATCATGCACCAATAAAAGGCCCGGAAATTTGTGAAACAGCTCTAAGAAGTATTGGACATTATTTCTGACTTATTTCATTTGTAGAACCTATGAGAATTCTCGCTTTATGGCTTTAGTGACTTATCAAACCTATGTACTATTCTTCGGGCTATGTCGAAAATTCCTCCATAAAGGGCTTGTAAGCAGAATAAGGAAGAAAGTTACTCGTGAAAAGGTCCTTGCTATTAGCTTTGAAGAAAGAAGCAACAGCCTTTTTCTTGGATTTTTCTTAAAACACCTTTTGCAGCATATGCCTAATGCATCTCTGCAATACGAGAACTTCTTTACGAGCTGAAATTTGTGAGAGCCAACCGCGACTCTGACGAAAGAAATGTGTTTCCTTTTTTATTAACTTCATAATGGTTAGTATTTTGAAGGGAAGAATTATTGGTGTTGCAAATAGGTGAATCTAATAGTCACACAGTTGAAGAATTTATTTTTCTGTAAAGATCTTTGAAAAGAATAGAACTGTTAGCGCAAGCTGGTCAGCGGATTTTAGGAGAGTCATAGAGGTTTCTGGATCTAAGGTTAACTCCAGCAGTTATTGCTTCCGCGGTTGCAAAAACCAAAACGCTCTTGGGTTGGAACTGAAGGGAAATAACCTGTCTACTCATTCTCGTTTTTTATAGTTTCTCGTCTGAACCCGCTCCTGTGAAGTCCAACTACTTCGAAGGCGACAGTCGGAATATTAGAATAGAAATCGTCAGCTATTGATTGTTACCCTTTGAATTCCTTACAGCCCTTTATTCTTTTTGACTTTGATTGAAATCAGTTTTGCTGTTTGTACACGTATGGCAACAGAATGCTATCATGCGTTTTTATGTGTAAGAGAGTGGATACCAAATAAACTTAAATGAAGTGCAAATATCCTGAGAGTGACGGCTTTGATTTTATTTAATAAAAAATGTTTAGATAATGATTTGTCAAAGTGTAGAGGCATTTACAAATAATGTTACTGTCTGGCCGAACGAAACACACAGTGGCAAATGTTCGACTCCTTACCTCTGTGAAGATACGCAATCTGCAAATGTACAATTTCTGTGGTCTGACCATTACCTCGTACTATTCCTTGTTTCTGATTCTGAAGTACACGAACTCTTCGACGCCAGTACTACCGGTCAGTGGTCCAGCGGCCATCTCACCTCTGCCGCCCATTGGCACTAAACCGCAATGCCTGGCACTAGCCGAATATACATCGAGCCAGCCAATTTCTGCTCGTCCTTCGCCTGGTCTGCATCCCCCTCATCCGCCTCCGCCTCTCCATTCCTTCGCTTCGGTACCCCATCCGGAGGCGAAAGGCACGGCTACCACCAGACTTCAACCCCTTCGACAGCCGCCGCCGATGCCGAATCTACAAGAGAGCCTGCATTCTCCGTCGCCAGTCACATCGCCTCAATTGTTGCCAAGCCTTCCACGGCGAGGTATCCCCAACACCGCTCCAATCGGCTGCTCCGCACTCGCGCCGTGCGTGTAGGTTAACTCTTCTGACACTTTGGCTAGAAAATTCCAAACAAAAGTAGCAGAGAAGTGAGTAGTGTCAACGTAATGGTATGAAGAGAACCGATGCTATACCTGTCCAAGCAGTATAATGTGTGATTGGTATACGCTTTTTTAGTCCCGTTTAATGGTGTTGCCGAGACCCACCAGGCTAAGCCACGATAAAAAGCAGTGAGACGTCAGTATTAAGTAAGCAAAGAGGACGGTTACTGCGGAAGAGAAAAGGGTATAAGTTAACCTTATCTTGGTCAGGATACCAAAAACTTGGCGAATGCTATGATTAAGAAAACTTGCCTTATTGTTCGATCTGCGATAAAAACTACAAATTTTAAATAGGGCGCACAGTTCCCTCGAAGATAACATGCGCGTTTTTTCGTCATTGGGACCGCATTGTGACCGCATTATTTGTTTCATTTTTGGGTAACATTGATCGGCGACTCCGGATGCGCCTTCACTTACTTGTCTCAGACAAACAAAAGGCATTTTTCCCAATTTTCAGTTCGCAAATGCGGCAAGGCGGGACAAACAGATCGATTCATCTAAAGACTAAGACCGTGTTAATAAGGATCCCATGATGTTATTTTCCTTTGTCCCTCGGGGAGGGGCCTCGTGCAGCATTAATTAAAGACAGGGACCATAATGGCTGTTATCATGCCTTCCTGAAGTTGCATGGATTCTGTGTGGATCCCTAGTTTTCATCACATGTTAGTGTGACGCACACTAGACAGGGATTTACACAAGGCCAACCATTGCCCCAATCCCATCACTGACCGACCGCATGTCTCGAAAAAGCTATTAATGCGTGAAGGGAGGACGATTGATTAGGACCAGTAGTGAATACCCTTCCTCGAAGTAACCTGGTGCATTTTTCACCTGCGATTATCATGACCCGCTCAGATGCGGGGTTTGGAAGGTTTCCACTAGACGGAATAAATCAGTCCTTCTTTGTAATGTTAGTTAGACTGTAATAACTAGCGTGACGGTCAGATATGTGGCCACATTTAGAGCAGAGGAAGTAAGGACTCCCGTAATACGGGGCTAGTGGCAATAGGGCTTTTATGGGCGAGGTAAGCTAGACTGACAGATAGCTGTTTTCGAGAAGTAAAATTAAAGACATTATACTTGCGCCAAAAACGTGTTTAAATACGCCAATCAAGCGTGGGAAGGCGAGTACGCAATTTGAAATGCCGTAAATCAGGAGATTTCAACGGACGGAAATAATGAGAAGCGAGAGCAGATTAGCTATTGAGGACGAGTTTATCTCAACCGGTGATGAATCATCACACTAAAGGGGAAAGTCCGAGACATATATCGCTAAATCCGACTCTCGTAATCACTTCAACTGAACATATAATTAAATGTTTCAGCGTTAGTTGCCTAACCCTAACGTTAAACCTATGTCTAAAGCCTAACCTTAACCTTAACACTGACCCTAACCTCTGTCCTTAATCCCACCACTAAACTTTGTTTTCTACCTGCTAACCCTAACCACTAATTCTAGCCATAACCCATAACCTCGAAGCCCGACCTTAAAGCGAACGTTAGTCCTGACGATAACACTCGAGGGAGACGTGACGGGGAATGAGCAAAAGGAGACGCAGTTGAATTAAGTCTACCCAAATGATATAAGTAGGTATTTCATAGAAGTAAACACTGTGGTCCTTTCCTAGAGTGGCTTTTACTGCACTTCGCACTCCTGTGGGCTCCTGCTTCCCTTTATTAAAGCTTCGTAGTGACATACAACCTGCTATTTTAATAAAGGTCTGTAAACAGGTCATCGCTGCCTCCCAATAAGACGCTCAATTTCTGCCCCTCTACTTCATGTTGCCAGGAGATAACCATGCATTGTAACTAACCTGAAAGTTATCGTTTAATGAATGCTTATGCAAACGAGACGTGCCAGGTTTTTCTGCAGGACACTGTACCTATGTGTAAAGTGAATTTTTACTCCCAGCTCTCCATGCCCTTAGTTCGACTGCGCTGCTTTTACGATGGGCCAAAACTGGGGTCATCTTAGTTTAGGGCAAGCACTTTCCGGACTTCTTCTAGTAATTAACGCAACTTGTGTAAATAAATACTGTACTTAGTGTCCCATCTAGAAACAAAATCCTGGGAAGTTTATGCCGTGACGCGCCTTACATTTCTGTAGTTTTATTTTAAACATGTCGAACATTTGAAATGGTTCTTTCCTAAACAGCGTCTATGACATTGCACCCATTATACTATATGGTTGAGCTGATTCTGATGGACTCGTCAACGCAATATTTACTGCCATAAATTATGTTAAAGCACATAGTAGAATTCGCGAAAAGCTGACTTTCACTTTAGCATATATTTACAACTGAAGTCTGCATTACTGACCAACGTGGCGGGTAAGGTACAGTTATGAAATATACGCTGTAGGATGTTGGCTTTTCAGTGAGCACCTTTCGAACCTCCTTTGTGAATCATATTCGCGAACGAATTCCTACCTAGATGGCGTGTTTATGCATTTCTCAACGATGCCCTACAGAAGAGATCATCGTTTTTAGAGAGGGTTCAAACGCACTTAGTTCCCGTGCTCATTTTGTGATCAGTTTTTTTCTGGTTTAAATGTTAAGTTTTGAGAAATATGCATCTTTGCTTTGAAGCTTTTTTGACTCCAACAGCCCTGTTCTTGTTTTCGGGTATCTATGGGTTATTGACGATATTTCTAAAGCATTAAGTGTGAGTGCAATATACTGAAACACTAAAGTTGAATAGTATCTATTGACTTCCACCGTTACGAAGCTCCCGGGAATGGACTCACCCATGTGTTTCTCAAACGGACGCCACACCCACCCATGTGTCGTATACGCCTAAATTCTAGAAACATTAACCAACATTTTTTGATGTCCTTTGCAACTGGCTGCAACACTGATTGACAATTCCAGCGCAGCAGAAAACTGGTTTTGGGCGAGTATTCTTCCATCCAACCGCGTACATTACACATAGAAAAGAGCAACTGTCTTTTTCTGTTCCTCGTTGGCTTCTTATCAGCTTAAATTAGCCTCACTCCCATTACTGGAGGGATGCTTCGTTAACAGACACAAAGTGGCCGGCCATGCAGTCTCTAGACAGCCTTACAAGGATAAATTATTTCGAGCACAGCTCTACCCTTTTGCGAGTAATCTTCAAAATATGACTTCAAAGTTTCCAGCCAGAAATAAAGACGACCTGTTGTGAGAAATTGGATAGAACACGAGAATAGGAGCTGCTCGTAGTGCAGGTGACCTTGCGCTAAATCCCAGGATGATTAGAGTTAGGTTTCAGCTTCGGGTTGGGGCTTGGGTCACCGCATGCATTGGGGTTGTTGCTAGTACACGGAAATAGACACCTTTCCTAGAATTTGGCGTAATGTCAACAGTATAACGGGGGGGGGGGTTTCTATTCCGTGTTTTATCTAAATTAAAAGTGCAAGTTGAAAAAACATGACCTCAAATCCAAGCAAATTTTGAAAATCTGATGAGCTTGGATACATTGCAGTCAGCGGATATGCGCCTATAAGCGAAGTTTATACTAGTGCCGCCCAGTTGTTGAGAGACCGAAGGCGGCATAGGCGGGGCAACGGATACTTCCTAGTCCTGCGTGTAGAAATGTTGTTATGTGGCTACAGCCAACAGCAAAGATCGGTATTTTCAAAAATGCTGCGGGTTCGTCTTTTCGAACCGCGCCGAGTAGTTCGGTTTTCTGCTTACCACTGAAACGCAATTACGCTGTCGAATACGGTATTTTGACTTCCAACCAGTTTTTGAACAGTTTGAAAAATTTAACGTCACTTTTTGACCTAGTTAAACCTCATCTAACAGCATCTGTTTGAAGATTTTCAAATTAACCATGTTTTTTAATTTCCAATCTCAGATCTAACGAGCATGGTTCTCATGCTTGTGGTATCTGACTTGTCTTGAACTTGCTCAGTTATAGCAATCCACTTACCAGATACTCGGGAGCGATTTCCGGCCAACCACGTCGAAAGTTTGCAGGGTCTAGGAAGGTAGGCTATACACAGTCCATGCTTCATGGCTATGCAATTAGTGTAAGGTCCTTGATGGTACAGTAGTTGCGTGCATACTAGCTGCATTGGAGCCGACAGCTTAGGCGTCAAATCCTAACTAAGGAAAACATCATGACCCGTTTAATTCGCATAATAATACAACTATTTTCAATCGAAGATAGCTGTAATTTCGTCAGCCTTTCTCTATTTTTTTGATATATGCCAGTTATTTCGTAAATACGATTCATTTAAAATGCCCGTAACTCAGGCATACGCGCAGTTTAAAGGCTTAAAAACCGCATTTCCATATCCTAATATCCTCCTTGATAGTTTTTTATACCTGGAGAGTATATAGCTTGCAGTCTAGAAACCCCAAAACAAGTGCAAAGGCAAGACGGGTTTAGAATCACTCGAAAATTTAAAAAATTTAAATATTGTTTCCTATATAAAAGTTGAAGAACACGTAATTTAGTACCAAATGAGTATGAAAATGCAAGCTTTTATGAACGTTTCCTATGACGCATTAAGTTAATTTATTAGAACACAGAAAATCGATGGAAAAACACATGCTATTTTTTGCCGGAAGTGGTTGTTTTAGGCGCCCGGGAAGAATCACATTCAGAAGCCGGTATTCTGGCATGACCTATATATCTTTCTTTTATGCGGCACGATAAGAAATGTTACAACCGTTCTTTACTAGTCCTTTCTAGTCGAAAAGACATTCATGATTTTTGGTTAACGTTTCACAAGGTATATCACCTACTTCATTTAGCTTTCGCTTTGAGTAGAAGCCTTGTTACTAACATAGCTGAACATTACCCATCTAAATAATTTAGAGTCTAAAAGTAAAGGCATTTCGATGCTTTCATTCAGTGATATTCCTATTTAACTATCTTTCATGCAGGTGACGTTATTGCGGCAGCCATCCCAAGTAACTCTACCAACGCACACAAATAATGTGAATGAAGTT